AGTATGGACAATATAAACATTTTGTAATAGGACAAAATGATAACTTCAACTGACTGTCAGAGGGTTTGTTTTATAGGTAAGATTGAAACCGGATGAAACTAGTTTGCGGTCAGTAGTCCAGTGAGTCCGATAGTTGTTCTGATTGGTCCAAACTAATGGCGTGATGTCATGGTGTGATGCTATGATGTGTTTCCCACGGGGCGCGCGGTCATTGACCCCTCAGTCAGCGTGAGTCACACCGGAGTGAGTTTGCTGTATGCTGATTGGTCCATACTGATGGCGTGATGTCATCGTGTGATGCTATGATGTGACGCTGGATCAAACGGTCATTGGCCCCTCAGTCAGGGTGAGTCACACCGGAGTGAGTTTGCTGTATGCTAATTGGTCCAAAATAGAGGCGTGATGTCATGGTGTGATGCTATGATGTGACCCCATGGTCATTGACACACCTTTGAATAGAGGTCAGCCAGGTGTTCGATGATTACGTCATTTTCGTCTATTCCAGCCCCTATACAACACACCTGTTTGGACATTCAACCTGGATTCTGAAACAAAGTTACACACTCACTGAACAAGGAACGCACCCTTATATAATGCCTTAATAATGGCTGCTCAGTTATTTATATCCAGCTGCCATGCATGTGCTTGCTGAAGCCGCACAGGAGAAGCTGTGGTGTTTATTGACATTGAGACGACATTTCCCCCTCCATCCCACAAGCATGGACGGATTCCTAAGCTGATACAGTTTTACTACTGCCGTGATTGATCTTGTTTGATACGAACGGCTATTACACGTGCGACTTAACCCACGTACCTGTGAACTATGTATAGCTTTCACGGCAGCCGCTGTATGGCCGACACGACTTGACTTCCAATGTGAACTATATATAGCTATCACGGCAGTCGCTGTATGGCCGACACGACTTGACTTCCAATGTGAACTATATATAGCTATCACGGCAGTCGCTGCATGGCCGACACGACTTGACTTCCAATGTGCACTATATATAGCTATCACGGCAGTCGCTGTATGGCCGACACGACTTGACTTCAAATGTGCACTATATATAGCTTTCACGGCAGTTGCTGTATGGCCGACACGACTTGACTTCCAATGTGAACTATATATAGCTATCACGGCAGTCGCTGTGTGGCCGACACGACTTGACTTCCAATGTAAACTATATATAGCTATCACGGCAGTCGCTGTATGGCCGACACGACTTGACTTCCAATGTAAACTATATATAGCTATCACGGCAGTCGCTGTATGGCCGACACGACTTGACTTCCAATGTGAACTATATATAGCTATCACGGCAGTCGCTGTATGGCCGACACGACTTGACTTCAAATGTGCACTATATATAGCTTTCACGGCAGTCGCTGTATGGCCGACACGACTTGACTTCCAATGTGAACTATATATAGCTATCACGGCAGTCGCTGTATGGCCGACACGACTTGACTTCAAATGTGCACTATATATAGCTATCACGGCAGTCGCTGTATGGCCGACACGACTTGACTTCCAATGTGAACTATATATAGCTATCACGGCAGTCGCTGTATGGCCGACACGACTTGACTTCAAATGTGCACTATATATAGCTTTCACGGCAGTCGCTGTATGGCCGACACGACTTGACTTCCAATGTGAACTATATATAGCTATCACGGCAGTCGCTGTATGGCCGACACGACTTGACTTCAAATGTGCACTATATATAGCTATCACGGCAGTCGCTGTATGGCCGACACGACTTGACTTCCAATGTGAACTATATATAGCTATCACGGCAGTCGCTGTATGGCCGACACGACTTGACTTCCAATGTGCACTATATATAGCTATCACGGCAGTCGCTGTATGGCCGACACGACTTGACTTCCAATGTGAACTATATATAGCTATCACGGCAGTCGCTGTATGGCCGACACGACTTGACTTCAAATGTGCACTATATATAGCTTTCACGGCAGTCACTGTATGGCCGACACGGCTTAATTTCAAATGTGAACTATATATAGCTTTCACGGCAGTCGCTGTATGGCCGACACGGCTTGACTTCCAATGTGAACTATGTATAGCTATCACGGCAGTCGCTGTATGGCCGACACGACTTGACTTCCAATGTGAACTATATATAGCTATCACGGCAGTCGCTGTATGGCCGACACGACTTGACTTCAAATGTTCACTATATATAGCTTTCACGGCAGTCGCTGTATGGCCGACACGACTTGACTTCCAATGTGAACTATATACAGCTATCACGGCAGTCGCTGTATGGCCGACACGACTTGACTTCCAATGTAAACTATATATAGCTATCACGGCAGTCGCTGTATGGCCGACACGACTTGACTTCAAATGTGCACTATATATAGCTATCACGGCAGTCGCTGTATGGCCGACACGACTTGACTTCAAATGTGCACTATATATAGCTTTCACGGCAGTTGCTGTATGGCCGACACGACTTGACTTCCAATGTAAACTATATATAGCTTTCACGGCAGTCGCTGTATGGCCGACACGACTTGACTTCAAATGTGCACTATATATAGCTATCACGGCAGTCGCTGTATGGCCGACACGACTTGACTTCCAATGTGAACTATATATAGCTATCACGGCAGTCGCTGTATGGCCGACACGACTTGACTTCAAATGTGCACTATATATAGCTTTCACGGCAGTCGCTGTATGGCCGACACGGCTTAATTTCAAATGTGAACTATATATAGCTTTCACGGCAGTCGCTGTATGGCCGACACGGCTTGACTTCCAATGTGAACTATATATAGCTATCACGGCAGTTGCTGTATGGCCGACACGACTTGACTTCCAATGTGAACTATATATAGCTTTCACGGCAGTCACTGTATGGCCGACACGGCTTAATTTCAAATGTGAACTATATATAGCTTTCACGGCAGTCGCTGTATGGCCGACAGGGCTTAATTTCAAATGTGAACTATATATAGCTATCACGGCAGTCGCTGTATGGCCGACACGGCTTAATTTCAAATGTGAACTATATATAGCTTTCACGGCAGTTGCTGTATGGCCGACACGACTTGACTTCAAATGTGAACTATATATAGCTTTCATGGCAGTCGCTGTATGGCCGACACGGCTTACTTTCAAATGTGAACTCTCTTACTCCTCTATCACTTTAGTAAAATGTATGTGGTATGAATAGCTGATTTATCGGCCCCCAATTTCCAAATTCTCTCTAACATATTTGATGCTTAAGGTATATTCAAGTTCATCGAGATCTTCCATACGATAACACACTCGATGTTGAGGCCACTGAACATATGTCAGGAAAACAACGCTAGAACAGGTACATGAAGAATGAATATTGAAAGAAAATGTGGACAGGTCAGGTTAATGTCACTATTCAAACTGATGTGGACACGAAATCAACTGTCCCTAATCCTGAATATCAGGTCAACACGTGTTTTCCTACTATATCTCTTATCGTTGACATTAAGAGGAATGTATCATTAATGTACTTGAAAAAGTAAGTTTGTAAACTGGGGCAAACCAGCTCTGTTTTAGTAAACTGAATATATATAAATACAACTCGACTTCTAGCAGCAACGACCTCAAACTAGCTCAGGTAAATTACAAAATTGTACCTTGTTAAACTCCTGCCAAAACAGGGGAATAGCGTGAACATATTTCATCTGTGAAGCACGTGATTTAATTCCATTGCACATGGATCTGGTAGAGTTGAAGAATACAAAATAATTAAAGTCTTTTCCTTAAATTATACATGGGGCGAATTTACTACTTGTGAAAATACTTATTTCTGCATTACATTATACTTTTCAAACAGAAAAAGTCATAACACCGAAATTGAAAAAAGATGCAATTTGTCACACACACATTGATATGCATGCTGACGCAGATATATTACTTCTTAACGTGAACCCCTTTGACTTGAAATATCCACTCAGTCAAGCCGAATATGTTTGATGGTGAAGTGTTCATCAAAAGAGATACACTTGGGACGTCCATATCCATATACTGTGAGCAGTAGTCATGAGTAAACCGACTGTGGCCAATACAACATCATTGTAAAACTACCTCGTCACGTCTTGACTTAGAGTCAGGTAGGTTTAAATTCGTGAAGATTATTTCTGCCTACATGTGTCTGTCCAGGCAATGTATCCTAGAAGATGATGAATTGGTCTCAATATGCCATTGTTTAATGTAGACCAAAGCTGTGGAAATCGAGCTATAGTCAGAGATTCTTGAGGAGACAGTCATTGTTTAATGTAGACCAAAGCTGTGGAAATCGAGCTATTGTCAGAGATTCTTGAGGAGACAGTCATTGTTTAATGTAGACCAAAGCTGTGGAAATCGAGCTATAGTCAGAGATTCTTGAGGAGACAGTCATTGTTTAATGTAGACCAAAGCTGTGGAAATCGAGCTATTGTCAGAGATTCTTGAGGAGACAGTCATTGTTTAATGTAGACCAAAGCTGTGGAAATCGAGCTATAGTCAGAGATTCTTGAGGAGACAGTCATTGTTTAATGTAGACCAAAGCTGTGGAAATCGAGCTATAGTCAGAGATTCTTGAGGAGACAGTCATTGTTTAATGTAGACCAAAGCTGTGGAAATCGAGCTATTGTCAGAGATTCTTGAGGAGACAGTCATTGTTTAATGTAGACCAAAGCTGTGGAAATCGAGCTATAGTCAGAGATTCTTGAGGAGACAGTCATTGTTTAATGTAGACCAAAGCTGAGAAAATAGATGATTCTTGAGGAGACAGTCATTGTTTAATGTAGACCAAAGCTGTGGAAATCGAGCTATTGTCAGAGATTCTTGAGGAGACAGTCATTGTTTAATGTAGACCAAAGCTGTGGAAATCGAGCTATAGTCAGAGATTCTTGAGGACACAGTCTTGAAGCCAATGACTGTGGCACTGATCAATATGCCATCAGAGGAAAGCACGAGGTACAAACTAGCTAGTGACAACCACTGGTGGCGATTGTTTTAATTCTAATTATCATCAATTAGTGACACATGTTACAAGGCGAATGTAAGTATCAACACAAACGCAGTTACGTAGAATCATTATGAAGAAAAACATTAAAGTTTATTGATAGGAGGGAGATTATTTCTGATTTCAATGTTCACATGTTTGAGAAGACGTGCAATAAGTCCCTCCATCTGAATATGGAGTGAACATGAACCCAATAGGAGTCACGAAGGAACATAATATTCCCGTTGTCTGTTCATGTTCTACATTCACAGTGAGCCAGTAGTTTGGCTCAAGCTTTAATCTGTCACTGTCGCCTGTGGTCATCTCTTCATATTCCACCACAACCTGAAACTCCACAAACACACTGACATTACGACTAGTGATATACAGAAGAAAACGAGGACAAAAGGTGTACATTCAAAACTACATCCAAGGCGACAGTGATGAATATCAATATTTCCTTCACTGTAATTGCTGACGGTATCTTGTATTTATTGTTTAACGCCGTACTCAGCAATATTCCACCTATACGGCAGCGATCTGTAAATAATCGAGTATGAACCAGACAATCACCCACATGAGCATTGATCTTCGCAATTAAGATACAATCACAGGTGTTAACCAAGTCAGCGAGCCGGACCACCCAGTGCCATTTGGCGTCTTTTATGACAAGCATGGGTTGTTAAAGACCAATTCTAATTCTTCATGGGCTAATCATTACACGAATTCTGATCTTAATGAGCTAATTGCTGAACGAATACTTCTCGTCTATAATCATACGGGCTGCAGCAGTTGTTCCGTCTTAATCTTAACCACACATAATTGAAGAACTACTTTTAAATCCTCGGGACAAATGGTGACCCTAATGTCCTGTGTCTACACAAGAAGTGCCATATCTGTCTGTGCCATATCTGTCTGTGCCACATGCATAGTTCCTCTCTAATAAGCGTCATCCAGTGTGCAATACAGTCACACAGTAATAATATACCATAACTGTCATTTTAATCAAAAGGGTCACATGTATTGGAGCCAATGCAATTTTCAGACGGAATTCAATCATAAACTGTTTCAACTCACATACGAAACTAGCCACCCATCCAAGTGGCAAGAGGCAGAAAACGCAAGACCAATGAATTCCACACTGCAGACAGAATCGGCAACAAACTGAAAGAAATAATTACTCCAAATAAGGTGCATACTCTCTGTCAGAAGGGAGGCCAAATAAAGTCCCCAATCCCCTTCACATAATATGAGAATCTGATTAACGCAATGTCCCGTGTCCCGCGCTGACAACCTAGTTTTGTATATTTTCGGTCTGTGGCTATTTAGTAAAATCTATCAAATGCATCCCTACGGAAAGCGCATGTATATGCCCCCTACACACATCAGAGATATGGACAAAAGCTTTTGATACTTGTGAGACATAGAAAATACGATATATCGGTTGATGTGTGCGTAATTGTCCGGTTTTCGATCATGTCACCGTTACATGTTAAATAGTAGGGTGTGTGAATACTAAGCCGGGGCCTAGTTTATCGATTTTCTGACCCGCAGTGGGGGGCCTATGCTTTAAAATACGAATAATTTGCAAACGCAGATTGCTCAAATACATTAGATCTTAAATCTATACATATGGATAAAGGTCTCCTTTTCATAGCATCGACATGTACAAGAACCTGTCTGAAACTCAATTTAGGTTACTATGTTAATATATTGACAGTCAAAGTTGGTTAGTTGGTTTGGAGTTTGAGTTTAGTTTTTGCCCAGCTCAGCAATATCCCAGCTATATGGCGGCACTCAGTAACGACTCGAGTCGGGACCAGACAATCTACTGAACGACAGCATGAGCATCGATCTATGCAATTGGGATACGATCACATGTGTCAACCAAGGCAGCAAGGCTGATCACCCAATCGCTTTAGTCGCATTTAACGACAAACATGTTGCTGAAGATAAATTCTAACGAATGTTCAGGGTGACAATCAAGGACTATTTAAACTGCCAGTGTAATAATCATAAAAAACCCATTAAGGGTCAAGGTAGAGTTGACGTCAAATTGATAGGTGCACCATTTGGCCTCTCATGGAACATGCCTTGTGTTCTAAAAATAGTCATCGCAATGTGAACATCTACTAAATCTAGAATGTCAGTTTTGTGCAGTAATTGTCTGTTCACATTTTGTCATATATTCACAATTTTACAGTCATATGAGAGGTCCCCACACACAACTGATGAAACCCCGCCAGACTTGCTCCAATATATTCAGCTATGCACATGTTGTGTTTCTGCGGCGCCAAAAGACGAGTTTGGCTGTCTGTCATGCACAACCGACCACCCCTCCCTATGCCCTCAAATTCCTGTGACTTCTAGATTGACACCAAACAAAATATGTTACCTTGAATGTACTTCGGCGTCCTCTCGTAAGTCTGATATCTCTGCCATTCTTCATTTCAATCTGAACGTTTCCACACGACCCGCCTATAGTTAATACCACGTCAGCTTTGGAACCTGAATATCGTTCCTTCCCGGTCCAGACGGTTAGCGTGTAATACGCTTTTTTCGCTGTAAACAACGAGGAGAGTTCTATGGATATACAGCTTCTTCTTAATATATCAAGAGCGACGTTTCGGTGTAGCTCGTAGCACCGTTATAAAGAAAAAAAAACAAAGAAAAAAACCCAACAAAAACAGAGAGAGAAAAAACAGCAACTTTTCACTGTGGTTTCGAGAAAATGTAGAACTGCTATTTGCGGCCCAATCTATTGAACATGTATCAGTGTATAAACTGCATCGTCAAGTGATATTGTGACAGCTGCATATACAACTGGAGAAAAATCAGTAGGTTTTGGAATAGTATTACTGTTCACATCATAACTCAGAAATACTACAGCTTTCTTAAAACTGTACCTTGTGATGGGCTGATATGTCTGTGCTCTGTGTGACAGCAATGCTCAAACACAAACAAGGAATCGCGTAACCTGGAAGCGTATTATACTACATGTGTTTGTGCGCTTTTACCATTAAAAATCTGTGATATCATAAATGTAACTTCTCATCTGTTAAGTTATATACGAAAGTACTATCTTCTACTATTAAAAGAAGATACACACGTGGACATCTCGCCATGCACTTCTGTTGATACGTCACGTCTCCCGCTGTCCCGTCAGTGCCTCCATCGTCACACACTTCAAGAGAAAGCAGGGTACAATGGAGACGATAGATCAGACATAATACATGCACACTGGATAACAGATAAGAATATGTCAGCAGCCCCGCCAATCTGTCATCTCCCGCTGTCCCGTCAGTGCCTCCATCGTCACACACTTCAAGAGAAAGCACGGTACAATGGAGACGATAGATCAGACATAATATGTGCACTCTGGATAACAGATAAGAATATGTCAGCAGCCCCGCCAATCTGTCATCTCCCGTCGCTTAATAAATGTTATCGATGTCAGAAGAAAACTGTAGGCAACCATGGACAGGAGACCTTGTTAGTTTGTATATCTACTAATGTTTATGTGGAATACTAAAAGTTCTACTTTTCCTCTATAATGGATTCCACCATTATTATACCCAATGATATCTCGTCAATATTCACAGTTAAATACGATCGTTAGAACTATTATAAAAACACACGTACCCTTCTCGCACTCACATACACGCACAAATATCACAAACACCTCCACATACTATAAGCTAAGAACAACCAATGGGTACCTACCATCTTCCCCGAAACCACGGCATAGTCTGTTGTGCCTGGTGTACACAAAATACAGACAGTAGGTTTCTGTATAACAAGTCACGGCACATGAAACCAGGTTCCGTTCAAGAACAGAGAACAATGGTTATGTTTGCTCTCTGCTTTCTCCGTCCTGTTTCTTGCATCTATAGGACGTTTTATAAACAGTACTACGAACGAAAACTGTCCCAAACACCAACAGGCACCAAATTGTCCTAGCACGGATAAACGTCATCCTTCGTAGGAAGGAAACTACAAAGTGCGAAACGGGTTGTCTGGGTGACTCGTGTTCATTGCCATTAAGTTACAGTACTTTTTCTCAGAATTCATTCCAGAAATGTCTCTAGTTCGATGGAATTTAAAACCCTTACTTATTTCTGAAAAAGGTGATTTGTGAAAAAGTGTTAAGTGTCAGTCGATAGATAGCAATGGTATGGAGCATTGGTACTATTAATGTGTAAAGGATGGTCTGTATATATACACCGAGGCCCAAGTTATCATGTCAGGGGTATCTTCAGTGGTTATATTTGGAATGAATTGTTTTACCTGAACCCTAAATAGTGTGTGTTAAAGTGGTCGAATATATTCCATCAATGAGATATAATTGGTACTGATCTTTTTAATCCACACTGGATGAGCCCCTTTAGTGGCTGACTCTGGGATGGGACTCACCCCCAAAAAAAAAAAATAAATAAAATAAAATAAAATAAAATAAAAAAATACCAAGATGTGTACTTTACTGAGAAAGTGTAATCCCCATTGCAACAAGCGCTGTTATTATTTTGATAAGTCCAGGGTGTATGAGTCGTCTGAACATCAATATTCATCAAGTGTACACATTTCTTGCAATCGCCAGCAGCATGGGTCCATGCAGGTAGCAAAGGTACTGTAGGTCCCTATGGTCCCTAGTATGGTGATCAGACTACAGTTGTTGGTGATCTATAGCCCAGTTTTATATTGTATTGTTGTCAGTAGTGATATATATTTATGATAGCGTGCTCGTTTTAAATTAAGAGATGTGATATTCTAATAGTTTTACTGTCCTTCGACGACAGGTTTTTATGTTCTAAATTTATTGATTCTTATGTTGATATAAATTAAATTGTTCTCGTCACGATATGGCTGAGATATTGCTTATGTGACTTTAACTTTTAACTCACTCATTCACTCTGAAGTGATTCTTTTGTTCTAAATCGTCACTGTTACTGCTACCGTAACCCCGTTATGTAGTAATCTCAAACACGAATGCACATTTCGTTGTGCGTATAAATAAACGCTACATCGTTCTCATATTTATTGCCACAGTTTGCAACATAAATACAAGTATTCTAGTGTTGTGTTGGCAATGAAAGTTCCTCACAATAAACCCCGAAACAGAAACTCATATACGTGGACCAGAAGAGTTTAAAAGCTCTTTGAACAGTCCCGACCCAGAAAGTGGGTAGCTCAGTGAGATTGTCAGGTCTCATTCTCATACTAATACTGTTACTCTGTGACATGTCTTAATACAGTCATTTCTGACACGACGTACAGCCCTTTGACGTAATGGTGGATGCTTTAACATGAGAATTACAACCAGATGTTCTTCTAGGTGTCTTCCTGTCATCCCTGTGTACATCCAGCCAGGAATATGTGCGACAAACATGAGGCCTATGTAATGATTCAATATGAACACAGCAATCTGACACAGGACATCATATGAGTCACCTGATGATGTGAACTAACCCTTTATCCGAAACATCCTTCCTACAGATTATAATCTCTGCGTTAGCCTGCATTTTGTCTAAAACTGTGCTCGAAGCAATGATTGGGATTAAACAAATGTAAAGTTAGGTCCTTCCATTATCTCAGAAGCGAATGGTGAAATCAAACCTTCCATCGTATTCCGTTGTATATGGCAGTCACGTTCCAGCAAATAACCTCTTTCTATCTAAAACCTTAATATTGTCACAATGTCAGAATAGAATATTTCCAAATAATGCTAACACATATATTCTACTTCTTATTCGTAACATAGCTTTAAATGAATTGCTGATACATTATTTTACATTTATTAATAGAACATTCCAACATTGTCTTCAAGGTGTAGGTCTAGGAAATAGTTAGCCAAAATCTATACAATTATAGCAAATATTGACCTTCAATTAAACTATACACAGATTTAAAACAAACGTGTACATCACTACATACTATCATCAGTACATGCAATCATCATTACATACCATCATCACTACATACCATCATCACTACATACCATCATCCAAGTGATGGAATCTCCATCTTTATTTTATTTCATACTGAAAGGCCACAGGCCTGTAGTACATTGTTTAATCATGTGCGGGTAGTAGAGCATTCTTTCGGATAATAAAAGCTTTATGGATATATATGGACAATCTTTCTATATGTGTTTTACTGGAATTATTCATCAATGATATAAACTTATGCATTTCAGGATGTACATAATAATATTTCTTTATATATATATTTCTTAACACTAAGTATGCTGGGCAAACACATAAAAAGTGAAACTCATCTTCCACCTCGTGTAAGTTGCACATTTGGCAGATTCTACTTTCTTTCTCAATACCTTGGTATCTCCCAGTTTCAACATATAAATCATGCGCGGAGCAGCGGAATCTCGCCAATGAAGATTTATATTTCCTTATGGTCAAGACTGAACGATAATGTTCTGCATATATGGAATCTTTTATCATTTTGTAGTATAAACATTTATTAGATAATGAGAGACTAGTTAACCAATTTTGAAGGAATATATCTTTATGTCTTTGTTTAACTGTACAGACAAAGTGAGAATGAGATTCTACAAATTGTTCATGCCAGGCATTGCCGAAGCCGATAGATGATAATAACTGTTTTATGTCTGTTACCCAATAACGTTTCCCATGGCTATCATATAGTATCATCATTTCATAACATTTTCTTGGCAATCTGTGTGAGGGCATTGTTAATAATTTCAACCAATATCTAATAATCTTTACATTTGATTCTATGTACAATGGATATCTTCCACATTCTCCGTAGACCATACAAGTTGACGTGGCTGTTTTTACGCCCAGAAATTTCTTGCATGCATACAAATTGACTTTTTCTATGACATCAAAAGTTTTAAAACCCCATACTTCTGCACCATATAACAAAATTGGGTATATTTTGGCGTCAAATATTTTGAAAAAAGACTTGTAAGACAAGTCGCCTAAAATATGTATATATTTTATTATACCTATTAATATTTTCTTTGCTTGTATAGCTGCCTGTGATGAGTGTACTGCCCATGAAAGATGATTGGTAAAATGCACGCCTAAGTATTTATACGAAGTGGTTGTTTCCAGTCTATTTCCCTTTAAGAACCATTTTTCATTATTGGCTAGCTTACCTCCATTTTTAAAAACAACTATCTTTGTTTTAGCCTGGTTTACAGTTAGTTTCCATTTACCACAGTAATTCTCTAGTTCAATAATTTCTCTTTGTAGGCCTTTAATTGTGCTTGAAAACAATATGATGTCATCGGCAAATAGTAACAGGAATATTTGCATTATATCTGGATGTAATTGGATACCGTTTGAACAGTTTTCTTGGATTTGGGTTGCTAGTTCATTTATGAAAAATGTAAATAGAAAAGGGCTTAATATACAGCCTTGTCTGACTCCTAATTGGCTCGGAAATGTATCTGATAATTCATTATTACTCCTTACACAAATTGCATATATGCTCCGCAGTAATTTTCCCATTTTGCGACTGACACCATGCTTGTCTAAGAGATTCCATAGTTTGTTCCTGTTAATTGAATCGAACGCCTTGGAAAAATCTACAAATAAGACATAGAATTTTTGTCCCTTTTGATTAAGATATTTCTGAATGATAGAATGTAAAACAAATATGTTATCAATAGTAGTGTATCCCTTCCTAAAGCCAGCTTGTGATTCTGTTATCTTGTCTAGAGTATCTGCCCATTTAACTAACCTCTTATTTATGGTAGATATAAATATTTTGCTAAATATGCTGAATAACGTTATGCCCCTATAATTTTCAGGATTGTTTACGTCTCCGTTCTTATGTATAGGAACTATTATGCCAGTGGACCAGGATTTTGGGAAGTATCCTTTTCCAAGATGATATTAAATATCAGTTCTAAGAGTGGCAATAGTAAATCTGTAGAGTGTTCAAAAAATTCAGAGATGGTAGAGTCTATACCAGAAGATTTATTAGCTTTTAAGTTTGTGATACTATGAAGTATTTCCTCCTTAGTAATTGGTGAGTCAAGAATATCTTCTACGAAGCTTGGACTAAAGTCAGAACAATCAGAATTGTTCACTTCTGTGTCAGACTGGTCATGTAATGCACTGTCATTATCCGAGTGGGAGAACAGGTCACTGAAATAATTGTACCAATCTTCAATTTGTATATTATTTCGCGAATACGCTTGTCCGTTTATTTGTTTCAGCATAAACCAGAATGTTTTTGAATCATTTATACAATTCTCTAATTTTTGTTGTTTTACCTTAAAATATTCATTTCGCTTTTGTCTACAAAGTGCATGGTATGCATTCCTACTGCTGTGATATTTTTCTAAAGTGTCTGCGTCTTTCGATTTCCTAAATTTGTTTAAATATCTACATCTTTCTTTTTTAAGTTTCTTGCATTCAGTATCGTGCCATGGATTTTCATATTGTCTACTGGTGTGATTTATTTTTTTCATGTCGCTAGCAGCTATGCAAAGAGCTTCAGTTATCAAATCAACACTTCTATCGATATCAGTAAATGCTGAATCCAGAGACTCACTAAGTAGTCCTTGTACATTGTCTGAAAGAATATTTTGTCTAAAGTGGTCTAATTTATCCTGTTCCCAAATAAATCTAAAGGATTTCTTTTCATTGTATTGGGGGTACCCATATGAGTGAAGCGCACGTAAACACAAAGTAAGAGGTAGATGGTCAGATTCTGTGCGGGACGGGATTGAAAAGTCACGAACACTGTCAAACAGTGGTGACGACGCTATAGCATAGTCTACTAAACTCGTGCCATTAGCACCAATATAAGTAGAATCACCTACATCAGCATCCGATCCACATCGACCATTCATCATGTGGATATTTAATACAGAGCATAAATTGAGAAGGCACTTCCCAAAATTATTTACAATTTTATCAGTAGAAAATCTCTCAATGTTAAAATAGTCTATAAGAAAATCCCACATTGAGCTTTCTCCACCTTCTGTGTATTCAATAATGTCATCTTCAACAAAGTCTAGGTCTGTACCTGTACGGGCGTTAAAATCCCCTCCGCACAAAATATGTACATCTTGCATATTAGACAGTAAGTCCAGTAAATTATCTTGAAGTAAAGTGATACCATTTTTGCAAAGTAGACCAGCTTTGTTGTAATACGTGGATCCCTGTGGATGTATATAGGCACATGCATATAACACATCAATGTCCAGTTTAAAGAGAATCTTATCAAACATGAGAAAAACACAATTTTCCGTAATTTTAGACCACAAAATCTACTTCGTCGAATGATGTTTTATCATCACCACTATCCCACCAGAGAGTCTGCCACCTATAGAGATCCTTTCTGCCGGTTTGTTAATTATGTCATAGTCTGGAAACACATGTTCAATATTATCATCAGAGGTCCATGTTTCAGTTAGACCAACAACGTCAAACTGCCTTATAAATTTTACAAAATCAATATCTCCTAACTTGCTTGATATACCTGCGATGTTCCAGGAAATAAAGTTAACATCATTTTTAATGTCAGTTGCTTTATCAGTCTCATTGGGATTTTTGTGATGCGTCGTAAACTTACCCTGGCCTAACCCCTATCTCCTCTGCCCCCTGTCCGGAGGGTGCGGGCTTGACCTCAGTCGCCGACGCTTGTGCTGTGTCCCGGGAGCTCTAACCCTGTCTGTAGGTGTTGACTGGTCATCACGATTAGAATTCTCCTTTGGCTCCCTGACAAGTTTATTCCCCTTATAATAGTATCTTGTGTCAGGGTTCTCTACATACCATAATCACTAGATACTATCATCACTACATGCCATCATCTAAGTGTTGTCCTTTACGGTATTGGGGAAGTGATGGGAACTGGTACATTTTGGATTACATTCTCAACAAAATAAATAATTCAAAGATTAGGTATATAAACCTGATGAAACTGACACACCCTGCAAAGGGAGGGTCAACAAAAATGGAAGATTTACAGTTATTCTCAAGTCAGCACTTTCTTGTTGCTTTGTTGGACATTTTCCAGGCGAACACGCTCGCGTGGGATGTTGCAGGCTCCGATTCCGCTGCCAACTGCGCCGTGGTAGTAGCTATGATATTTATAACCAGGGTCACTATGATCTGATTCCTTCTACCATAAGCATTTTAAGCAGTATCGTACACTCCCTATCCCTGTACATATGAGATTATGCATGGCTTGTTCCTGATGTTGTAGGTGTAAACTTGCTGTTACACAAATAAGCTGTACTCTGAATGACTATGTAAATGTTGTAAAGACAGGGACGATCTTGTATTGAAGATCAATTTCCTATACTGCTTGAATGTGAGCGTTACTCAACACTAAGAAATAGGTATTTTCAGCAATAATCAAGTTCCACACTGTAACATCTTTCATCGAACTATTTCACTGAAACTTTGATACTGTATATAACATTTATCTATACTACCCATCAAAAGTTTAGATTCACTTAAAGCGCTCACTATATGTTAGACGTTCTCCGCTTAATTAGTGGAAACAGCTGCAGACTTTATGCAGATGAGCAGCACGAGGATCATGCATCAAATTGCTGAAAAGCATGTGCAAATATCGTGCATGTGAACTGCTGCGTTTTGGTGTAAAGATTTGGTAATAACTAATTTTCACTGAGTTTCTTCATCTACTGAACTCATCACAATAATCTCTTCAACGTTACGAATTTGTTTTACAATACATCAGTTCATATGTAAACAGTACCTATAAACAGTATCGAATATTTTGCAAAATCTAGTTTCAGTTGACTGAGGTAAGTGGCTACATTTACACTAGTGTGTCTAAACTTCTGATGGGTAGAATATATATGCATATTGTCCATCAGCTAAAAGAAAAGAATCAATCATTTCACTGACATGCGTGATTCATGTAATCACTGAATTATTTTACTGAATAAAACGTACTGGGTCTGTATACCCTCGTAATTACAAAACATACCATCGCTACATACCATCACTAGATACAATCATCACAAGCTACC